CCTCCCAGATGGGAGTGCGGGACTCTCAGGCTCCCTCCTTTAGCACCAACAAAGAAGTCTTATTATAACCTTTCCACTGCTTTCTCCCTTTGCTGGGGCCCTGGAGACTTCTGACCTCAGGCCCCAGTGCGTGGTTGTTTCCTTGCTGCCATTGAATTGAAAAATGATTCCTTGGGGGAAAGCAAGAAGGAAAGGGGCCCTGGGCTCCGTTTCCTGGCCTTGATTTAAGGAACAAAAGAAGCTAAGCTCCAGGCTGCTGTGCGGACAGCTGAAGGGTTTTATGCTCTTTTGGGGGAAAAAATACATTTGCCTGTTGGAAAAAATTTCTCTTTGAGCTCTCCAAAGACAGAAAGTGGAGAAAAAGCACTTAGGTCTGATGTGTCTGTGCCCTGTGGTTGGGGCCCTGCTTTGGGCCAGAAGACCTGGTTTCCTTCCCCTCGGCTTCTTACTGGTGTGTGTCTTTGGGAAATTCACCCACTGTCTCTCGGCCCGGGAGTCCTCAGTGTGTTGGGGTGAGGGTCACGGAAGAACTTTCTGGTGCTGCGTGGGTGTACATTGTTGCAGTGGGGGAAACTGAGGTCCTCAAGACGGCTGCCATCAGAAGCATGATGTGTTTGGGTGTGTGTGGGATGAAGGTGGGTGTGTATGGTGGAGAAGTTAGTTGAAACTGACTTCCAGGGCCTCATCCAGACCTGCAAAACTGGACCCTGGGCATGGGGCCCAACCAAGAATCTGCCTTTTTACAAGGAGGGACAGGGGCGAGTCCCAGGAAGTGAGGCTCCTGAGGGGGGGAATTCATCATCTCAAGGCCACGAGAATAGGCTCAGCGGGCCACGGGGCTTCAGGTGGGACAGGCACTGGGGTGAGGCACAGAGAGGGGCAAGTGTGAAGTAAGGAACCAGAGAGGGGTGTAGGATGCAGGGACTTAGGCAAAGGGGCAGAAGGGCCTCAAAGCTTAGCAGGGGAGAGGACAGGAGACCAAGGAGGAGCCTGAGGCTGAGGTGAGCAGGGTTGCTGTTGGCCAGTGGGGTGATTCAGCACAGACTCACAGTGGGGTGCTGGGGACATATGAGCTTGTGGGGGGAGCTTCTTTGGACAGGTGAGGGCAGAGGTGGCTTGTGTTGCCCATCCCTCTGTGTCCTTTCTCACCAAGGGAACCTGAGCACCCCCCATGAGGGAGACTGCCCTGCTCAGCACCAGGCCAGGGATGACCAGTCCTCTGAATAGCCCCACTTTGCGCAGATGCTCCAGAGCAGTCCTGATGAGAGGAACTGTATTAGTCTGTGTTTTCCAACAGGGAAACTGAGGCACAAGGAACCCGAGTCATTTGGCCAGAGTCGGGATGTGAACCCAGGCACTTAGCCATCAGGCTGTACAGCTAACAGAAAGTATAGGGGCCGTCCCTGAATGCAATCGGACACCACAAAGGTGGAGAAACAAGAGCCTCCCTCTGCCCTGTGGCCATTCCTTTGGTCTTCCTTCATCCATCCCATCGGCCAGCCCACTGGCCCCGCCCCCGCCCAGCTCTGAGTCAGGTGCAGGGCTGGCCCGCAGCAGAGGTCCCCATGGAGGAGCACCCAGCTGGTGTGAGAGATCGACACGCCCCTCATTTTGTAGCCCAGGGTGTGCTGAGCAGGGACGTGGGGTCCTACCAGTCAGGGGGTTGTGCACTACAGGCCAAAGAGAGCTCGGGCTAGGGGAGGAGAGATGGTTGTTGATCAGGGCCTGTTCAGGGCAGGCAGAATGGAGGAGGATAGATTGGAATGAGTCTAGAAGGATGATGAGGATCATCTCAGCAGGGCGGAGGGACTGGGGTCTTCGGCCTCCTAAGGGGCTGTGGCGAGCTAACCCAAGCCGCAGGACCCAGTGAGAGGCCTGAGGCCATGGGGCAGGGAGCCACTGAAGCTACGTGGCTCGTTCTATTTCTCATTCCAGATGTGACCCTCTCGCCCGGCTGGGAGGGTGGGCAGAGCCAGGGAAATCCCCGCATGCTTCTTTTTGAAGCTAGGACCCCTTCTCTCCTTTTCCTTCTGTCTCTCTGTCAATCGTCTTCTGTTTCTCTGTCTCTCTCTCTCTCACACATACACACACACAGAGTTTGAAATCCAGGGTCTCACTAGCCTGAACGTGACAAAACCTGAGTTCCAGAGCCAGACCCTGGAGAAGTCAGAGACTCTCTCTGAGTCTCATATTCCTTTTTTTTTAAATTTTTTTATTTATTTATTCGACAGACAGAAATCACAAGTAGGCAGAGAGGCAGGCAGAGAGAGAGGGGGAGGCAGGCTCCCTGCCGAACAGAGAGCCTGATGCGGGGCTTGATCCCAGGACCCTGAGATCATGACCCAAGCCGAAGGCAGAGGCTTAACCCACTGAGTCACCCAGGCGCCCCTCATATTCCTTAAAAAAAAAAATTATTTTATTTTATTTTTGTCAGAGAGAGCACAAGCAGGGGGAGGGGTAGGCAGAGGGAGAAGCAGGCCCCCAGCTGAGCGGGGAGCCTGATGTAGGACTCGATCCCAGGACCCTGGGATCATGACCCGAGCCGAAGGCAGCCGCTTAACTGACGAAGCCTCCCAGGTGCCCCGAGTCTCACATTCCTGATTTATAAAAGAATTGGAAAAAGTGACCTCGGAGGTCCCTTCCAGCTTGAGTGTTCTAAGCTTTTGAGCAATTATAGAATTTCATTATAGAATACAAAGATAAACCCCTGCACGCTCTTTAATAAATTCCCAGCCCCCCTTCTTTATTACTTCCAGCTCCTCACCCTGCCTCAGGTTTCACTAGAATAGAGGTTCCTCTTTGGGGTGAAGGCATTTTGTCCTTTACTGAAATCAAGACAGACACTTCTGTCCCCTAACTTAGCATCCTGCATGAGGAGGACGCGTCAGCCCTCTTCGGTGTGACTGAGCATGTGTGAAAGTGGTATCTTACCTGTCCCTGAGCCCCCGTACCCACCCCTTCAGCCACCTTGCCTGTCATTTCATCTCTTGCTCCCTGCAGGGGCCTGGGAGTTTTATCAAATGGTTTCAAAGTGACAGCTGGCTGGGAGTAGGTCTGGTGCAGGAGCGGTGGAGACCAGCAGAGGGGGTGTGTGTCTTGGGGTCATGGAGGGCTAGCTGGGGGTGGCTGCCTTTTGGGAAGAGACCCCTGAAAGAAGAAAGTGGAACAGAGGTTGGGGATCTCGGGATCCCCCCTCTCAGAGACACCGCTGGGAATCTTGGGGACTGAAGCTGGGGTGGTTCGTAAACACAATCGGGGTCTCCCCAGCAGCAGGTGGCGATTGCATCTGTCTGTCCATCAGCCTGTCTTTGGCTCCCACCTCAGGATGGGGGGCAGGAATTGACTGTGGGGACAAACTGCCCTATAGGCTGTCACTCTTGATGGCTCTGGTGAGGGAGCCAGGATAAGGACTCCTTATAGATCTTTCTGGCTCTACCTCTGTTTGTTCCCTGCCATTCCCTGGGCCTTAGTCTCCCCCTTCTCTGGGAGAAGATGAAACAGATGATCCAGAGCGTTCCATCCAGCTCTGACAGTTGGAGTTTGGCGGTCAGGGAGACACACAGACTAGAGAGAATTGTTTCTTCTTTCTGAGAAAGGGGTTCATGTGGAGTGGAGGGAGGAGGAAGAAGACCCTTGGGAACCTCTGGGCAGAGCTTACTCGTAGGACGGAGTCAGGAACTCACACAGGTGGGAGGGCTCATAGGAAGTCCCCTTTAGGGCTGGAGTGGTGCATGAGTCAACAAGGGTCTTTGATGAGCAGGTCTCCCTCTGGGCCTCTGGAGCTCGGTCCTTCTGGAAGATTGCCGAACAAGAGAATGGAGGATGTCTGGCAGCTGCCCAGGGTCGGGGGTGGGGAGAGCAACAAGAAACTGGTTATTTATCCCCCAGCTCCTGCCCCCAGGGGTGGATAAACTTCCTGGTATTTGCAGCTGGCTTGCTGGAAAGAGCCCTCTGGAGAGAAGCAGCATAGGAGGAAACCCTGGGTGTGTCCAGGAACTAGAAGGGCTGAGGAGATAGGATAGGGAGTCCACAATCTTTAGGACTGGCTCTATGGTACGATGAAGAAACAGATGTTCAGAGAAGTGGAGTCACTTCCCAGCCTGAAACTGAGTTTCCAGTGGGCTGTGTTGCTTCGTGACAGCAGCATGTCACTGTGGAATGGAAGATACCAGAGGTGCAGGACCTAGCCCTGCCTGATCCCTCTGTGCCTCCACTTCCACATCTGTAAGATGGGATGATGCCTGCCCCGTACTGACCTTGCAGGACTGTGTGAGAATTGGGAGGTAGTACTTGCAGAACGCTTAGCTACGTGCTTGACCCGTCCCTGGGGTTCAAGAGCAGGGGCTGTGATTACATGGAAGCAGAGCAGGAGCAGCGGGCCCCCCTCTTCAACACCTCTCAGTCCCTCAACGTGTCCATTATCCTGCTGCCGTGCTTCCAAGTCTGATGATCAGGACCACGTGTTAGCTTCCGGCCTTGGCCTTGACCATGGAAGGACCCCGTTCCAATGAGTCTGCATCCTGTGGGAGGTTTCACTGGTTCATCTACCAACATAGGTGACAGATGCAATAAACTGGCTCTACCTAGAGCCCGCAGGGAATTATGGGACACTAAGTGGCTAAGTTTTGTTTGCTTGTTTTACTTTTTTTTTTTTTTTTTTTGAGAAGTAGAGATGTCTTACGAGGAGAATTTCTAGAACAGGTTAAGCCATTGGGCAGATGGAGATGTGGCTCGAGAGTGAGGTCCTGCGGGATGTGGGGTACCCAGAGTGCATGGCACGGGTTGGGGGGTAGGAGTGGACAGCCACACTCCTCAGGAGGCAGGGCTGAGGGGCCTCCACAGCCCCCTCTGTACCTGCTTTAATGAGCACCCAAGAGATGTGTGCCCAAGGAAACTTCTCTTTCTGTTTTGCCTGCTCTGGGTCTCACCCCAGGCCTGACTCCCCTGAGACCCTTCTCTCCTCTGGCTGTGCTAACTCTTCCTCTCTCCCCCTCTTTTAGGAATCTCTTGGACAAAGACATGTTTTCCAAGTCCGACCCACGTAAGTCCTGCTCTGACACTAATAACAGTAACAACAACAGCAATGACATGGTGACGGATGGTAGTGACACACTTGAGCCCTTCCTGAGCTCTAATGAGGCACTAGGCCCCTTTCCAGGCCCATCCAGGCTGTTTATTGTCTCACTGATACTGTCTGGAGAAGGAGAACTGGGGCTCTGACCCTTCCCAGGCCGCAGGAACCTGTGAAAATTCAGCCTAACTAGGGGGGTTGGTGGGGGTCAGGGTGCCTGGGGGCCAGAAGTTCTCAGTCCCAAAACGCAGTATATTTCAGAGCCCCAACTGGCTGTGGTCTGAGGGGTTGACGAGCACTGATTTTCGAATCCAGGGATCTAGCCCTGAGCAATGCCATTCAACTCTCTGACCTTTGATGGGTCGTTGGCCTCCTTGGAGCCTCAGTTTGCCCATCTGTGGAATGGGGCTGATGATAGTAATAGGCTTCATGAGGTTGCCTTGGGGTCTGAAAGGATGACTGATTCGGGTTCCAGATGCTCTCTCCCGCCACATCTCTGCAACTCAGTCCTCCACGTGCCCTCTATCACGTTCTGGCCTAGATGTGAATGACCCTCAACGCCCTCCACGAGGGTCCTTCGAGAGGAGGGTCCCCTTCTATATTCTAGGCCCCCTTCTCCAAGCTGACCCCCCCCAACTCCAGACTCAACAGTGCTGCCCAGGCCAGAGTCTCCTGAGGTGCCCTTCCCCTCCAGAGATCTCCCCATCTAGAGCACCCACCTTCCTCTTGGCCTGGGGTTTTAACCCTCTTTTTCTCCTCTCCCCACAGTATGTGTTATGTATACTCAAGGGATGGAGAACAAGCAGTGGCGGGAGGTAGGTAGTCCTTTCCCCATCCCAGACACATCGCCTTTCCCTTGTTGTCTGTTTGTCTGATTCTGGAGACATCCCACCTGATGTGTTTTGAAATGCAGCATTTAGGCCCTTGGGAAGGGTAGTAAGGCCGGAAGAACATGCAGTTTTATCCCTGCTATTGTAGGAAGAAGCATGGTGGAGGGGAAATTTCCTGCCCTCTGTAAGCCAGGCTGAGGGAGAGATATGCTCTTGCCTCAGAGAGCCGCAGTCTGGGGGGGGGGGGGTTACACAGCTGTGCCCTCAGCAAACCCCAGTCTGAAGGGGAGACATAGCCCTGCCTTAGGGAACCCTAGTCTGAGGGGAGAGACAGGAGACACAGCCCTGCCCTCAGGGAACCCCAGTCTGAGGGGGGACACAACCCTGCCCTCAGGGAACCCCAGTCTGAGGGGGGACACAACCCTGCCCTCAGGGAACCCCAGTCTGAGTGGGAGACAAAGGGAGTCCAGGCCCAACAAAAAAGACCTCCTCTGGTGGCCTAAGACTGGATATAGCAGCGGGTGCCCCGTCTCATCTACCCCGGCCTTCATTTGGTTTCCAACCAACGTGAGCATTCAGTTAGGAGATTGCCTTGCCTGGAAAGCTTCAGTGACTCCTCTCCGTTTTGAATCAAGTCCCAGCTCTTTAGTGGGGCTTCCAAGCTCTGCCAAGAGCCTGGGGAGTCCCTCCCAGATGACACGACCAGAATGAGAATAGCCAGTAAAGCTTCAGTAACCCAGGGGCGCCTGGGTGGCTCAGTGGGTTAAAGCCTCTGCCTTCGGCTCGGGTCATGATCTCAGGGTCCTGGGATTGAGCCCCGCATCAGGGAGCCTGATTCCTCCTCTCTCTGCCTGCTTCTCTGCCTACTTGTAATCTCTGTCAAATAAATAAATAAAATCTTAAAAAAAAAAAAAAAAAAGGAATGTTTAAAAAAAAAAAAAAAGCTTCAGTAACCCAGACTTTAGTAACCTCATCTTCCTTGTCGGTGGCTTGGCCAGAGCATCACCTATCCTTACCCCATCACCACCCCTTACCCCCAGGTGTGGCAGGAGCAAGTGGCCAAAGGGGGTGAATTTTATCCATAAAATGTATGGGAAATATTTCCACAGGGGCCGGGCTAAAGTTTACTTTTTTCGCCTTCTCCAAGACTCTGAGCCAATTAAAGCGGAAACCAGATTGCTGAGGAAACATTTAGCCTACTTAAGTGAACTAATTACTTTTGAGGCCTTTTGGCCAAGCTTCATAGAAAGCAGCAGTGTGTTAATGTCAGAGTGATTCATTCAGGAAAGTCTGGAAGGGCCTCTTCAGAAGACACTGCTCCGTTGGCCATTAATGACATTCAGTAATGTCATAATTGTCCCCATTCAGGTCAGGGTCCCTGACTGTGTCCGAGACGTCATCACCATCTGCACCATTGGGGCAGAGTGGACAAAAGGCAGGAGGCCTCGCTGCTGGCTCTAGCCCTTTCTGGAGGTGGAATCTGGAGCAAGTTGCCTACCCTCACTATGCCTCAGTTTCCCCATATGTAATATGGGGATAACACTGCCCTAGTACTCCTGTGGCCAGGGCGAAACAAGGCGATGGATGGAAGGTGGCTGCTGTGTAATCATTGTTCGGTAAATCGCATTGCTTGCATCATCCAGGACGTTTGGGGCCTCCCAGTCACTCCCTCAATGGGTCGATATTTGCAACAGTAAGCACTGATGTGTTCCAGGCAACATACCAGGTGCAGTGGGGAAAGAAGGAGGTAGTCAAAAGAACAGAGCTTCACCAAAAATGTGAGCTGGCCCTGGAGTTTGCCGCCTGGAAGGGGAGAGTCACCTGTGTGAATAAATCCTAACAGAGGAAACAGGGAGCAGAGAAGTATCAGTGAGAGTAAGAGGGGGGTTCACGGGAGAGAACGTTCTGGCCAGCACACCATGTTTAGCCAAAGCACTTTGATAGCTTGTTGGACTATCACAAATCACATGTGATGAAACGCAAGGCAGGGAAGCTGGGGGTCCAGCAGCACAGCTGGTTGCAGAAGAGACGGCACGGAGGGGGGATCCAAAAGGAGCAGGTCAGTCCAGCGCCTGGGTAGCTGGGTGAAGTAATAAGGGGCTATTTATGAAGGAGAGCTCAGGGTTTAGGGAAGCCATGAGGGGTGAAAAATCACCAGGCTGGCAAGAGTAGAAAGCCATTACTACTCCAGGCCTGAGGAGGTCCATGGAGGCCGAGGTTTCTAGAATCCCAGGGGGACCTCCCAAGATGAGCCCGGGCAACCTCACTCTCTTTCCACCCTCTGCTCTCCTGCCGGTGCCTCCTCCTGGTATAAACCCCATTGGTAGCCCCAGCGGAGGGTATCCCTCCTGGGCACAGGGCAGGGTGGACAAGCCAGTGGATCCAGAGGGACAAAGAGGGACAGTCCAGAAGGAACAGTGAGCAGATGATCGAGGTGGGGCAACAGAGAGGAAGAGGCGACCGAGGGAGCTGGCGGTTGTCAGGCTGAGGACAACTGGGACCATGGGGTCAGAATGTCAGTCAGAGCAGGAGGGTCCCAGCCCCATGGACAGCCAATGTCACGCACAGCCTTCAGGGGTGACGGTGACTGAGCTCAGGCTTCCAGCTCTTTCTGGAGAAGGGAAGATGCACTCAGACATATTGGGGCCCTGTTTCTTTGCCTGATTCTCTCTATGACCCACAGAGGACAGTATCAGGAATGGAAAATTTAAAGCAAAATCCAAAAATCCGGAATCCATCTCTGGAACTACCCCTGGGGTGGAAGACTGCTTTTGCTCGTAAACAGGAACCGGCTCCCACCTGTTAGTTCATTGCAAAACGTCTGTTAGCAGAACCTTGGCCGAGAGGTAATCAGCCTGTGACCAGGAGGAGTCAAGCGCGGGCACGGCAGTTTCTGCAGGCAAGGTCCAGACCCCAGGGTTTGCACAGGCTGCGGAGGGATGAAAGCTCTTCTCTCAGCCCCTGGCTGCGGGGTTTCAGCTGATTTTAACTGTTTGGGTCATTTTAAATGCCTTCTAAGAAAGCTCCAGCTTCTAGCACCTAAATCTGTCAATGCATTTTATGAAAATTGACTCAAGATGTAATTTTAGCCCAGGAAATTGAGCACTATTTGCATCAGGGTTGGCCAGGGCCTTCTGCATGTCCCAGGGAAGACAGGATGACCAGGTAGGAAGGGTCCTAGAAACCTTCTCACAGGGAGGAGGGCTGTAATGGGGAGCGTCTCTCCGTTCCCCATTTGAAAAATGTGTGGGCAGGTGATCCCTGCCCCTCCCTGGCCAGACAGCTGTCCTGGTAGGGGGTGCCCCTTGGAAACGAGGAGATGGATATTACAGAATCTTAGGGTGTCCCGCTGCTGAACCCACACTGCTTGTGGAGATTGTCACCAGTGACCACGCCCACACATCCCTGCCAGAGCGCTAATTTTTTTTTTAAGTTTTTAAAAAAATTATTTATTTATTTGACCGAGAGAAAGAGAGCTCACGAGTAGGCAGAGAGAGAGGGGGAAGCAGGCTCCCCGCTGAGCAGAGAGCCTGATGCAGGGCTCGATTCCAGGACCCTGAGATCATGACCTGAGCTGAAGGCAGAAGCTTAACCCACTGAGCCACCCAGGCACCCCCAGAGCACTATTATTGAGCAACCTCAGTTCCTGGAACATTCAACACCCGCTGGGAAGGACGGTTCATCTCTAAATGTCAACAAGAATGTGTGGATACCTACTGTGTGCCACCATAGAATGCCAGGGATGCAAAGGGGGACCACATGCAACCAGAGGAACTCCCTCTGGGTTCAGGAAGGTACCAATTAGGGAACAGCAATAAGAATACTAATAGCAGAGGTGTCTGAGTTAAAGTGTCTAACTTCAACTCAGGTCATGATCTTCGGGTCCTGGGGTTGATCCCCAGGGTCAAGCTCCTGTTTGGCCCACACTCAGCAGGAAGACTGCTTCTCTCTTTTCCTCTGTCCCTCTCCCTGCTCATGTTCTCTCTCTCTCTAAAATAAATAAATAAAATCTTAAAAAAAAAAAAAGGAATGCTAGTAGCAGACACTGCTGTAACAGTGATGTTCTGGGCACGGATTCTAAGTATTTACATGTAGTCACTAATTAAATGCATTAATTAGTGCATTAAATGCACTAATTAAATATCATGCAGAAGGTATTATTACTATTATTATTATTGGCCCCATTTCACAGAGGAGGAAATTGAAGCAGAGAGAATTTAAATGTGAAAGGAACTTCTGGAACATTGATGCTGTAGGATCTCTAATAGTTATATATAAAGGGCAAAAGTCTACTAATCCCAAATTCGACCCTCCCTAGGTGCACAGAGCAAGCTGATTTTCTCTTCCGCGTGTTCTTTTTCTCAATATCTGAGGACAGCTCACACAGCCCTGTTAGTCCACTTTTGGGCAGATTTATTTGTTTATTTATAAAGATTTTATTTATTTGAGAGAGAGCGCGCATGAGGGGGTAGCGGCAAGGAGCAGGGTGGACAGAGGCAGAGGGAGAAACACAGTCCCTGCTAAGCAGGGAGTGCGATGCGGGGTCTCAATCCCAGGACCCTGAGATCATGACCTGAGCTGGAAGTAGACGCTTCACCAACTGAGCCACCCAGGCACCCCAACTTTTGGGCAGATTTAGAAGGTGACCATTTCCATCAGTCCTTCCTCTATCACTCTCTCTTGTCCCCTTACCTGTCGGGTTACATGCCCTGGAACCCGGGTCCACACGTCAGTGTTCTCCCCAGAGCTGGACCCACTTCCTTGTCCAAACTGCTGTCCAGACAGGATTCCCGCAGCTCAGACTTCATGATTGGATTTTTGACCCTCGGTGTGAGATTTTGTGTTTATCTTCATTACATAGTAGACTTGTCATTTGGTAGGTTCCGTCTGTTGTTTGGCTGTGAAGATTGTGTTGAATTACGATCATGCATTCGGCATCTTGGTTCCGCCTCCTAGACCCCGGTTGGCTGTGGTTGCCATCCATG